CCCAAAATAAACCCCCTTTGCCCCCCCCCCCCCCCCCCATTCTGAAAACAGTGACAGGCTGGAAGGCAGCACAGACAGAAATTACCAGAAGATACTTTGTTTTGAAACATCTTCATCTGAACCTTCGTGCAGTGAGGATTCAGATTTTTGCCCAGTTGGCCAGTTTTTAAATCAGGGCTACCAGTGGGGATGGGGGGCTGTGGGTCAGGAAAGGGGCACTGGCAGGGCCAGGGGGCTGTGGCTTTGGAGTAAGGGGCATTGGCTGTGGCTTGGGAGTGAGGGGCAATGGCAGGGCATCAGCACCACAACGCGGTGGAGGAAGGGGTGGTGGGACAGTGGTGACTGGACCCACATCCTAGTAAGCAAAGGAGGGCAGGGGGAGCTCTGATTTTTCCATGATAAAAAACCAAAGTCAAACACCAAAATATATAGGTATTCAGAATTTATTTTATTAGACTGATTCAGGCCAAATTGCTTTGTAATTGTAAATATATCAATAAAACATTGCCCAGCTGATCTCTCTCTATATAGTGGCAGTTCATTTTAATTGTGGAAAAACATGGATTTTGATGGGTTTAATCAGAGCATTTTCGATTTTTAAACAGAGAAAACCAGGATCCCTGATGACACTGCAACAGTTAGTTATATCAGTGGTTTAATATATTTAATTTATCATTAATATGAATCCTTAATATCAGGTTTGGGTTGCATGCTTATAAAAAGCTAAATAAAGAGCAGTTTAATTATAAGTCAAATTTTTGAGAACTTGTTACATCTATTATAAATTATTTTAATTTACTGGAACCTTAGGGACTGCAAAATGCTAGAGAAAAAGAATTAGCTTTTCCTTCCTCCTACTTGCATCAGTTCTCCAGTAAAGTGAGATGCATGAGTCTTCTTGTAACATCTGTATGCCTGGAAGAGCCATATGAGAGGAGGACCATCGAGGACGTACTATAACAAAACAGCATGGAACTTAGAGTTTGCTTCCAGCAGATGTGGCCACTGAAACTGGAAACTCTGGATAGTGAAATTAAAAATGCTAGTAATCTAAAGAAATGGATTATACCAGTCACACACAAATTTTGAATAATAGAACTGACTTTTGCCTTAATATAAAATGCATGGTACTTTTATGAAGCAAGCAAAATTTATCATCTAGCTAATTGTTGGAAATGTTAAAATAAGAAATAAAATTGCTTCAATTAAAGTATCTGGTAATAGCATTTTAATGAAGGAAAAAGTCATTAGCAAAGAAATTTTAAAACGTTACTCTCAGCTATACTCTGCTGAGGCTAACAGGCTTTGAGATATTCAAAGAACTTTTAAAGCTCCCTAAAGTCACCTGAAACCTAACCAGCAGTAGTAATATGGATGTTCTAATATCCAATAAAGGAGTAATAGAAATGTACAGTTTTAAAAAGCCTCAGGATGAGGCTTCCCAGAAGAATTTTTCTCAAATAAGAAATGCAATCATGAACTGTTAGGAATGTTTTATATTTTTTAAAAATCACAGAATTCCTTCAGAATTATTTACAAAAGCATTAATGACTCAAAATCCCAATAACAGATAGCATTTGATTAAAGGCCAGCAAGTTTAATCAATTATGGGAGTGGGGTAGGAGAGGGGGGCATAACGGAGAACCTATGCATAAGATTGCTCTGATGGATCTGCAAGACATGTTCTCTAATAACTTTCTAATAGTACAAGGCTATTTCTGTACATCTCGCTCACCTGGCCAAAAATCTAAACAATTCAGAAGTTGTGATTTCCTTGACTGGGGAAACGGTATCTCATAAAAGAAATCATGCATTACATGTTTAAAGAATTACAAACATGTAATCTCTGAGCATCAATATGACCTATCTGTTTAACAGAGAGTAGTCCATGGGAAGTCATTGGACTATTCACAATGCTTATGCATATGTATAAATCCAGGCAGAGGAACAGTCCAAATAGGAGAAGATGGGGATAATTCTTCCATGGAGTTTGTGCCAGATAAGCTTCCTAAAAATAAATCAACTTAAAATCTGCGTTGGCCTGAAGGTTACTACAAGTCAGACAAGATTATGAAAACAAAAAGATCCTACAAAGGGCAAAACGCCATCTGAGCAGTACAGAGCTTTCCTTCCCATGCAAGTTGATGGAAGATGATGTCATTTTTCACCCAACACTCAGGCCTCAGTGTGCTGTTGGTGTGGATTGATCCCCTTCTTAAAGCCAATGCAGCCAGAGTAAAGACGTCTGAAACAGAAATCTGCACATAAGAAGCTTGTTGCAGTATTGGGGCCTTAAAATAAATCATTCATATATAACACCTTTGCCTGGCAGTTTCTTACCTGGGTACAGAATTTTCTCCAATGAATCATAGTATTCATCACTGGGATTTCAAGAGCCATCTGATCTACTCCTGTGTCCAAATGCAAGGAAGCTAGTCCGAATTATTCCTTGGCCAATGTTTATCCAGCCTATTGAAAACAAAGAAAAAGCACCCATTCAGGTGAACACCAGCCTCAAACCTACAGCTGTGGAAGACAAGCACTTCTGACGTGGGCTATGGTCATGGATTAGCATTTGTATAAACTACTGGAAATGGTAATCACTCTAATGAACAGTTCAGAAATTATGGAAGAGTTAAACTGCCTTGCCTGAAGTTTCAAATATTTTATACTACTCTCTTGACCATTGATACACAACAATATAACTTTTTCCAGCCTCACTTCAACTTTGGGCT